GATGGGTGGAGGGAGGGTAATTGGTGGAACCACACCTACAGTGCATCTTACAAGGGTACATGTGAAACTTACTAAATGGAGAATATAAATGTCTTAACACAATAACTAAGAAAATGCTGTGAAGGCTATGTTAACCAGTTTGATGAAAATATTTCAAATTGTATATAAAACTAACACATTGTACCCCATGATTGCATTAATGCACACAGCTATGATTTAATTTAAAAAAAAAGAAAAAATTAGAGGAGTGATTCCTTCCAGTTTTGTTACTATAAATTTTAATTCAGATTTACTCCCCTTGTTAACAAAATTTCAAGAGAAGGGAAGACTCATTCTTGTTGAAATAATTTATAACATAGGGTTAGGTACAATGAGCTAAAAATTAACATTAGAAGATTTGGTTATTAAAAGCAAACAAAAAAATAGAAAAATGAAGACTATCCAACAAAACAGCATCAAAAAACAAAGATAAAAGGATGTACAGGACTTCTACACTGAAAATACAAAACACTGCTAAGGAAAAAATGAAGTAAATGGAAAGATATACTGTATTTATGGATTAAAGACTCAATATTATTGTTAAAATGTTAAATTGATTTACAGATACAATGACTCCCAATCAAAATCCCACAAGGCTTTTTCTGCAGGGGCAGCTTGGTAAAAATTGACAAACCAACTCCAATACTTATTTGGAATGCCAAGGACCTGGAATGAACAAAACAATGATCTTGAATAAGGAAGTTTTTCCTGACATCAAGACTTATGAAGTCTTGACAAAGGGATAAACTAATAGAATAGAACAGAAAAGTAGATCCACAGATACATGGTCAAATGATTTTAGACAAGGGCACCAAAACAATTTAATGGGGAAAAGCAAATCTTTATGACAGACAGTGCTAGAACAACCAAACATTCATGTGTAAACCAGAGGTACTTGACTCCTACTTCATGTATATAACAAAAATTCACAGTGGACTATAGACCTAAACATAAAAGCTAAACATAGAATACTCTTTATAAAAAAAGACCTTATCTTCATGACTTTAGGGTAGAAACTTCTTGGAAGAGGACACAGAAAGGTATTAAACATAAAACAGAAATTGATAAATTAGATTTTACCCAAATTAAAACCTTCTCATTTGCCTCTTGGAAAAATAGGCAACCCACAGTGTGAGAAAAAATATTTGTAATAGGCTGGGCACAGGTGGCTTATGCCTGTAATCCTAGCACTTTGGGAGGTTGGGGCAGGAGGATTACTTGAGCTCAGGAGTTTGAGATTAATTTCAGCAAGAGAAAGACCCCAACTCTACTAAAAAAAATTGAAAAAAAATTAGCTGGATGTCACACCTTTAGTCCTGGCTACTTGGGAGGCTGAGGCAGGAGGATCGCTTGAGCCCAGGAAATTAAGGTTGCTGTGAGCTAGGTTAATGCCATGGCACTCTAGCCTGGGCAACAGAGTGAGACTCTGTCTCAAACAAACAAAAAGAAAATTGTAACATACAAACTTGACAAAGGCAAATCCAGAATATATGAGGGACTCCTATCCACTAACAACAAAAAAGGACATAAGAATCATCTAATGAAAATGTAGTCATTGTGGAAATGCAAACTAAACTACTGTGAGATACCACCACATATCCAGGCAAATGGCTAAAATGAAAAAGATGGCATCCATACTGGCATGAATGGAAAATGGTATGTCTGTTATGGAAAACTGCTGGGCAGTTTCTTAAAAAAATATACATCTATCCTGAGACCTAGCAATTCTACTCCTAGCCTTTTGAGAAAGGAAAATATTATCCACAGAAATCCCTGTATATTGACTGAATATTAATAGCAGCATTTAAGAGAAAGGAGAATATGTCCACAGAAATCCCTGTATATTAAGACTGAATATTTATAGCAGCCTTAATCATAATGGCCCAAAACTGAAACAGCTCAGGGTCCATGAACAAAAGTATAGATACATAAACCAAAAGGTTCTACATAGCAACAACAAGGAACAAGCCACCGATAAAAACTCCAACATGGATGAATCTCAAAGATGGCAAGCTGAATAAAAGCCAGAGGCTGAAGAGTACACGCTGTGTGGTTCCAGCTTTATGAATCTGAGGACAGGGAAAAGTGACCTACTGTCACAGGAGTATGGGCTAAAGGAGTATATATGTTTGCCTTAATTTGACTGTACGGAATTAATGCATACATTCCACTGCATGTAAATTATATCCCCCTCTCCCCAAACAAGACAAATAAAACAACGGTTGGAGATTAAGGGTCCTGCAGTTAAGTTTAAGATTTTTTAAACATTTTCTTTAGTGACAGAGTTTCACTTTGTTGCCTTCAGTAGAGTGCTGTGCTGTCACAACTCACAGCAACCTCCAGCTCTTGGGCTTAGGCGATTCTCTTGCCTCAGCCTCCCAAGTAGCTGAGACTACAGGCACCCGCCACAACACCTGGCTATTTTTTGTTGCAGTTTGGCCGGGGCTAGGTTCGAATCCACCACCCTCATTATATGGGGCCAGCACCCTACTCACTGAGCCACAGGTGCCACTCTAAGATTTTTATTTTTATTTATTATTATTATTTTTTGAGACAGAGCCTCACTTTGTCACCCTTGATAGAGCCCTCAGTAGAGTGCTGTGATGTCACAGCTCACAGTAACCTCCAGCTCTTGGGCTTAGGCGATTCACTTGCATCAGCCTCCTGAGTACCTAGGCCTATGGGCACCTGCCACAATGCTGGGCTATTTTTTTGTTGCAGTTTTGGCCAGGGCCCGGTGCCCTACCCACTTAGCCACAGGCACCACCCCATTTTATATATTTCATAAGCAACTTATCACACTGAAATATTACATTGTTGTATTTTATTATAACTTAACCATATTATAAATGGTATGTGTAAATTTAATAGCACTGTTCGGTTTATCAATTTGGTAATAGAAAAAAACATTAACATCTTTAAATAAGTATAGAGCTAGTTGATGAATCATTACTAGATTTTTATTTAGCTTACTATTGTGAAGGCTCTTCATCCTCTGTTTGGTTATGTCACATAAACCAAAAAAATGCCAACATACAAGTATACATCTATTCTGAAGGGCTTATTAAAAAAGCATGAACAACTCAAAATTTAAGGTATAAAAGCAGCTAAGGTTATGCAACAAACTGCAAAGTAGCCAGTTAAAAGGTACACAGTAGACCCTCCATAGCCGACCACCTCCCTACATTGACTACCTCCTTCAGTTGACCTAATTTTCATAGCCCAGACATGCACCACACATACTTATTAGTACCGCAGGCCTAGTTTCTTATGTGGCCTACCTCCGTATGTTGACCTGTTTGTTACAGTCAACTTACAGAGGTTCTCCTATATTACAAAAATTTTTAAGTGTATTTCTAAAATATAAAATGGTCTTGAAAAGTCCAAATGATTATGCTTTTAAAACTTGACAAATCCATTAGGTACAAACATGTGTCATTCAATACTGGTATTTTTTTTTTTTTGGTCACTTTTCCCCTGTTTTTGCCAGAGAAATACTTATATAAATTTGCTTAAAACTGTGTTTTACAAGTTACCCAAGGCCCAACCTTGTAGCCATGGGTTTTCGTGGAAAACTACCATTGTGGCAGAGTTTCCTCTTTACCTTTTCAGCTCTTATTTAGAAATGCTAGTTTCCAGGAAACTGTATAAATAAAACCAATTTAGCAAGAAAACACTGCAACAGTTTGAACTGCCTGACGCATTTCGCCCTGTGGTGTATAAGCGTCACCAGGTGCTCAGAAAGGCTCACGCAGCAGACCTGGTTGAGGTGACAGACCATTCGTGTACACATCTATGACATTTATATAAACATATGTGTGGTCACTGCACACACTTCAAAACAGGTGGTGAGGTGCTGTCATTTTCATGATTTTGACATTTGAGAAATCGTGCTCCGAGGAGTGCTTTGTGCGACACCTTGATCAGACCGTGAGGGGACAGGTCAGTTGTTCTTAATGCACAGCACGAGGCAGGGCCTGGGTGTACACAACACACAGGTGACAGACAAGCTGGAGTAACAAACGCACTACACTAAGCCTAATGAAAGACAAATAAGGACTCTCAGACTTTTTTTTTATGTGAGAAGGATATCCAATTTAAGTTACTTTTCCATCTCCATTTTTTAAATAGGCCTTTCCTGTTCACTTTAGGGGCCAAGATACAATTAAGTGTTCAATCCTAATCCAATTAAAAACTACTGAGTATATTCTTATAAGTCTTTTGGGGACAAGCATCCAATGTCAAATTTTGTATGGACAAAGTATATGTTTATATATATATATTTATATATAGGTATTTGTAATGTTTTCCTGACATTGCTTGGGGGCGGAGAATAACACAAGTAGAGGCTTGGTGGTCAGCGTGGAAATGCTCTCCAACTCTTCTGCTCTATGGTATTTTATTAACTTTGAGACAAACACAATGTGATAGTATCTTTTCACTGACCAAAGCAACCACAATGTTGATCAGATCACACTGATGCCTGCAAGTGGCCAAAATTACATGACAAGTGTAGGTGAAGGGCAAGGAAGTGACTGTGGTTTAGCCCCTAAAAGAAGGTAGGTGAGTGTGGTGTGATGAAGGAAGTGGCTGACGAGCTGACGCTTAAAACTAGAATAATTTCAGAGGAAAAATCACCACCTCTCTCATTAGTGACACTGAATAGGGAAAGAGTTAGCCAGGGTTTTCACTGATAGGTTATAAGCATTATGCAAAAACAGAGACAACAAAAGCTAAATCAAGTTAACATAAAGCAGTAATAAAATATAAAAAGAAGACATTATCAAGTTATAATGAATGTTATTCTAGATGTCAAAAATTTAAAAGCTTTTAAATTAAAATCTTGCCAAACTACCCCTCCCCCAAGTCAAAAAGTTATCCATTTTAGTAAGGGTATCAACATACATATAAAGTAGACATAGATACACACATGAATAATGCAAAAGAGATTTACAGAATGCAGTTTTGGCACTTTTACTTGGATTTTTAAAGAAAGTGAATACAAATAGTATCTTTGCTTACAAATTCTCATTCTGGAGAAACAGGATGTAGGATTAAAAGATGCAAACCTCTCCCTTCTTAAAAATAACATTGAAACAGATAACTGTACCTGTTAAAAATCTCCTGCTTGGCAACTCTGTAAACCTGGCTTGATTCATCTAATTCCATAAGCTTCACAAAGTTGTTTGTGTCTATGTATGTGACACCTGGTTATCCACTTTCAATACATGTACCGTTTGGCCTGTGGTCCATAAATAATATTAACGTTTTCAATTCAATGTAGAAATCTCAAAAGTTCTAAAGGGAAATACTGCTCAGTAGATAAATTCTCCTGGAATTTCTTGTAGCAAAGGTTCCTCAAATTTAAATCGTTTGGAAATGGCCTTTTGCTCCATTTTCTCTTTTTCAGACTGTCTGCACTGTCCTAAAGTATACGAAGTAACTACAATTAAGTCCTCTGTTACAATTGATTCCTCAGTTTCTGGTTTGCCAAAATTAATTTCAGGCACAGAATCATCACCTTCTTGAAGGGCATTTGGTTCTTCTAAAGCCCCTTTCACCCTGAGAGAAGGATCTTGAATACTGTTCTGTGTCAACCAGGGATGTTGTAGACATTCTTCTGCAGTGGCTCGATCTCTGTGTAAAGATACACAATTGATACTTAGGGCAACATATGAGCACTTCAATTAAAAACTAGAATATAAGCTGCTGTACAGTATTTATTACAATTCGAGATGTATGAAGAGTTGGCAAGAATCTCATTGTGATTCCTGAATAAAACTAGAAATTTTAGAATTTGGGTGTAATTTTTCACACTGTTTAAAAATATTTTAGGTAAACTAGCTCTGGAAAGCTCTCTTGGGGAACAAACAACAGATGGAAAATGTCTTCTAGGGATTATCTGGCTTTTTTATTTTTTAGAGACAGAGTCTCAAGCTGTCACCCTTGGTAGAATGCCATGGTGTCACTGCTCACAGCAACCTCAAACTCTTGGGCTTAAAGTGATCCTCTTGCCTCAGCCTCCCAAGTAGCTGGAACTACAGGTGCCCACCACAATGCCTACCTATTTTTGGGTTATAGCTGTTATTGTTTGGCAGCCTAGGCTGGATTTGAACCCACCAGCTCCAGGGTATATGGCTGGCGTCTTAGCTGCTTGAGCTACAGGTGCCGAGCCGATTATCTGGCATTTCATTGTCAATTTCTATTAACCACAAATTGTGAGTACCGCTCAGTGGATGGCATAGCTGCAATAACACAATTTTGCTAATTAATATTTTAATCCTCTTATAATGAGGTACTTATTTCATACTTTCAAAACTATTTTCCTTTTGGCCACTTTTTCTTTCCACAGACATAGCAAGCCATGAGTTTCATCTAATATTACACCAACATTTTTGCATCTTCATTTTGGTGTTTCTGTTGTTGAACTACTTTTGCTTGGAGCAGATCAATCCAAAATGGACAATGATCAATATTAAACTAATACTTACTCAGGTTTCTTCACTAAAAGTGTCTTGATGAAGTCAATAGCTGACTCAGATACAACATCAAACTCTTCCTCAGAATAACTTAAATTCATCTGTGAGATGTTCAAAAATGTTTCTTGTTTATTATTGCCTAAGAAGGGTGATATTCCTGTAAGCATGACATACGTTAAAACGCCAATGCTCCTAAATTGAAAGAAAATTTAAGAAAAATTAGCACCAGTCTCATTTATTGAAACTAACTTAATCAATTTTCATCAGTAACACTCACCACATATCCGTTGCCATGCTGATAGGATCATAACTAAGAATTTCAGGAGCTAGTATCAGAAACAGAAGAGAACATTTAATTTTGTGGAAAAAATTGTTAACTATTAATAGCATAAATTAATATGAATTAATACAAAGTCTAACTAGATATTTACAATAAACTTGTTTACTTTTCACACCTCTACTGCACATTATTGAGTCCCAGTATTTTAGAAATATAGGAAGAAATAAACACTGTGATATAAAGTGGCAATTTCTAACACAGTGGGCTTCTCACACCCTTACCTAACCAGGCATAGTCCCTATCAGGTCGTAGCTTTTAAATCTGCCTCACCTGTCCCCATCTTTGCTTTCCTAATGCCCTGTTCTATCCCAGGCACTCTCCCCATCACACAAGTCCAGCAGATGGCTGGCCCCACTACGAACCATTCCACATGTGAGCTCCTGATGAAGGTGACGCCTGAGGACCCCAAACACAAAACTATGCCACTCTTACAAATACTGACCCACATATTCAGGAGTACCCATAATCTCTCGGAGCTCTTCACTGTTCTTCATTATTCTTGAAAGGCCAAAGTCAACGATCTTAATGTCACCCAGTGGAGAATCACTTGTCAGCAGAATATTCTGAGGCTAAAAATATAACACCCCCCCCATCAATAAAACCATGAGTATACAAAATAAGTAGCTCATAAATTTTACCTGTAAGATTGAGACAGAGGAATTTAATAGTAAATAGTAATTTGTTAAAGAAGTGTACGTCTCTCGCCCCATTCTAGCTCTTCCTCAGCATATAAGCATGCTTCTGTCTCTCTCTTAAAACCAAAACCAAACGGCTTACAAAAACTATCCTGAAAGACCCTGAATCTCCTTGTTTTGAGGCAAAGTCTCACTCTGTCACACTGGGTAGAGTGCCATAGCATCACAGCTCACAGCAACCTCAAACTTGTGGGCTTCAGCAATAATTCTCTTGCCTCAGCCTCCTGAGTGGCTGAGACTACAGGTGTGCACCACAACACCTGGCTTGTTTTTCTTTCTTTCCCTTTTTTTTTTTTGAGACAGAGTCTCACTATGTCGTCCTTGGTAGAGTGCCATGGTGTCACAGCTCACAGCAACCTCCAGTTCTTGGGTTTAAGTGATTCTCTTGTGTAGCCGGGACTACAGGCAGCCGCCACAACACCTGGCTATTTTTTTGGTGCAGTTGTCATTATTGTTTAGCTGGCCTGGCCCAGGTTAGAACCTGCCAGCCTGGGTGTATGTGACCGGCGCTCTACCCACTGAGCTAAAGGCACTGTCTGGTTTTCTATTTTAAGTAGAGACAGGGTCCTGTTCTTGCTCAGGCTGGTCTTTAACTCCTGAGCACAAGCAATCCACCCGCCTCAGCCTCCCAGAGTGCTAGGAAATCTCATCATAAGCCACAGCGACCCACTTGACCCTGAATCTCTTTCTAGCCACCATACTCACTGCCTGTTAGTCCCACAAAGCTCAGTTTCTTGAAAGCATGATCAAATACAACTCGTATCAATTCTCAGTCCAGCTAAATCTGCTCTGCCCCCTCTTTGAGGTCACAATACCTTCAATAACTAACACCTTGTTGCTGCAGCACTGGGGACTTTCAATTGTCCTCATGGTGTTGAAATCCCTCCCTTTGTTTTATCCCTCTCCAATCTCTTCCTCTATAGATCCCTCACAATTTTCTTGATTATTTTTTTTCTGCCCTCCTTCTAAATACTGGTGTACCACCCTGTATTTTACTTTTGAGCAGTTTCTTCTATTCCTAAGGCTTCAGCTGCCCCTTATATGAATTCTACTCTAATTCCATTCTCCAGACTCAAGCTGCAATTAAAATCAAAACTTTGTATTTGGCTGAAATGTACCCCACATCCTCAACTCCCCACTACAAGGCAGGCCTTCAAAAGTCAGTAAACACCTTGGGCAGTCGTTCATCCCCTCAACCCACCTTCCTCTTCTGTGTTCCCAATCTTAATGCCCAAGTAAACCAATGGGGATTCACCCCAAAGTGCTCTGTCTCCTACATTTTCCACCATTTCTCTTATCTAATGAAGTCACCAGTTGTGCCAATTCTACTTACTAAATCTCCCATCTAAGTACTAACCCAGCCCAGCCCTGCTTTGCTCCTGAGATCAGATGAGATTGGTTGGGCACATTCAGGGTGGTATGGCTGTAGAATTCATTTCCTAAATCTCAGTATCCCCAGTGCTTAAAGTTTGGGCTTTCCTTATTTCTTACCCAGACTATGATGCTAGCCTCTGGTCTCTAGTTTTCCCCACGGTCACCCCCTTTTGTTGTCCTCTTCGCATGACTGTATGGTAGTTGTTGCTTCTTCCCAGCACACCTTTTCTCAAAAGGGGCTGAGGCTGGAGCATGGAGGCTACCCCCAAGGCCGCAGAATCAACAAGGTTCACATCCCTGGAGTCATTTTTGCCCGGTGGAAAATAACCCAAGACACTTTCATATAAAAAGACAAACAGATCTATTTTCACCTGGACTGTTTAATGATCTGGCCCCTGCTTCCTTTTCAAGATCAATCTGCTGTCACTGTTCTACAGGCACTTTATGCTCCAAACTAAACAGGCTGTAATCCCTGAACAAGACTGGCGCGCTCCCATCTCCTGTCCCTGCACAGGCACTGTCTTTGCTCGTGCAGCCCTCTCCCTTCTCTCCCTCACCACTCACCCATGTGCGCTGGGCCTGAGGGCTGACCCTGCTCTGCTCCACAGCAGCTTGTGCACAGCAAACATGTTAACCCACTGTTAACAGACTACATTTGTCCCCTAGAGGTATAAAAAAAATGTTCACATTTCCTCTCCTTCCACTCATATTCTACCTACCACTCCATCTGACTTCTGACTTCTCATTCCACAAGAAGTCACAAAATCTGTATTTTTCAGTCCTTCTGGAACATGATCTTAGCAGTATTTGACACTGGCATCCATTCCTTCCTTGTTTACATAGTCTTGTCTTGGCTTCTGTGACATATCCTGGCTTAGCTCCTATCTCTCTGGCTGCTGCTGCTGTCTCCTCTGACAGTCCGCCTTCCCTCACCAGGCTGATCTCAAGACTATTCCTCTCTCACTCCACTCTCACCTTGCATGATCCACCTGTGCCCAAGGCTTACATACCACCTATACCTTATGACGCACAAATTGTTCTTTCCAACCTCTTCAACCAATTGCTGATTTATTATCTTCCCTTTTATGTCTCAAAGGTGACTAAATTCAACATGATGGAAACCACACTTGCACTTTCCCTCCTCAGTCATTCTCCCCAGGCCGACGGCCGACGGTGCAGTGCATGGTGCAATCATCAGGATAGGAGAGAACATGAAGTCACTCTGGTCATTCCCTTCCTCCGCCATTAAACTAATACGTCATCATATTCTGTTGATTATACTTTGCCTACTTCTCTTCATCTATAGAAAACTAATTAAACCTACCATCATTTCTTGTTCAATCCCAATGGCCTTGAAAATGGCTTGCTAGGATCTGTTTTGTCTGCACTACAGCCAGAAAAGTTGTGCTATCTAAATCCAATGGTATCTCCCTTCCTAAGCCTTTCAGTAGCTTCCCACTGCTCTTAGATAACCTCTGAACTCCCTGACATGGTACAAGAACTCCTGAGAGGCCTCGCTCCTGCTTAGCTGGTTCTCCCACCTTGGCTCAGTGAAACTGAGTCTCTCAGGACATTTTCTGGTCTTCCCTCTCATGAGACTATTGTATACTGAATTCCCTCCACCTAGAACACGTTTTTTCTCTTTTTTGCCTAGTGTCAACTTGGCGAGAAGCCCTAGGATGACAGTGATGACACAGATTACAACAACTGTCAACAATATGATGGACTGCAGTATGAAAAAGGAAACTGAGGCACAGGTGATCCCTCTCTCTTTAAAAAGGGTCTTACGGTCTATCCAACCATCCATCCCACACTTTTACATTACAAAAAGGATCATGGGTTTCTCAAAGTCTGAATTCAGAAACGGGAAGGCAAGAATCTCTAGCTTCAGGATGACAGAAGCCACAGAATCAATTACTCTGTCCTCACCGGTGAGCGGGCCTGGCACTCACACACAGCTGCCGGACAATGAGCGGAAGGAACGTAACTATGACAAAAATGGAGTGGTGTCTATTTTGCATCAGGAAAGGTGGCAGGATAAATATTAGAATAAGAAGTCCCTACTGTCCAAGAGTTTATAATCAGGAGACCCGTCAGGAGTCACTCATTCTGGTGAGTGTCATGCTGTGACAGTAGTTCATGCAAAGTGCTCAGGCAAGAAATCAATCAGGGATTGCCTCAGAAAATTAGGAGGAGATGTGTGAGCAGAGCCTGAAGGGTAAAGAAGACTCCATCATTTAGTCAACAAATAGGTATCGACGCCTAATGACTCATGTCCTGGGGAAACAACAGAGAACAAGACACAGGTCTCTTCTTTTGGAACCTTTCATTCTAATGGGGACAAGTAAATACAAATTGATAATATCACTGCAGCGAACTCAGAGTGGGATGATGGGGTGACAAAGTGACTGCCGGCTGGGCATGCCATCTTTAGGGCAGTCAGAGAGGGCAACCCTCCAGGGAGGAGAGGATGGTGTTAGACAAGAGCCAGCGCACCACAGAACCCAAGGTGGGCAGGCAAGAGGGGTGCAGCAGAGCAGACAGCAGGCCTAAGGCTCCCCGGGAAGGAAGGACATGCTACCCAGAAGTCCCTGGAGGCAGAAAGGGCGGGATTGTGGGTGGACATGAGAGTGAGGGAAGTGCAGGCCTCCCAGGCTCTGTAGGCCATTCTAGGGGCAATGGCCACATCTTTTTTGTTAATTACCTTCTAGCTCCTTCTTCCAGAAAAAGCCTACGTAGCACTAGTCCCTAGACCAGTGATTTTCAACCAGTGTGCTGCAAAAATTTTTAAAGATTATTAAATTATTTTTGAAATAAATTCAATGCACAGTAAATGTATTCTTTTTTTATATACTTTTTAAAATCAACATAATTTAAGTGTATCATGGAAGTTTAAACTATAGGTTCAAGTATGCCATGAGATAAAAAGGTTGAAAAACACTGCCCTATACATTTGAGAGCAATTTAAGTTTTAGTACATTAATAAAACATAGTGCAATAAAATGTCAATTATTCAGGCAAATTCGATGGGAAGAGTTTGGCTCAGGGATACACATTCATAATTGTACCTGTTGTGCCCTTTCCACTACGTACGAAATGTTAAATGAAATACTGCTAAGGGCAAATCTCCCAGTCTTCTTGTGATTCACCATAATTAGCAAGCATGCACATTCTTAAACACCACATGTTCCCCTAAAATAGTTTAAATGTTTCACCCTCATATTTTGTTTATACTTTATATTCCCCAAGAAATGCTTTCTTTGGTTACTGTGCCAAAGCTAACTGGTTTGGTGGTAATGTTGTCAATCCTAAGTATGATCAAATCATTAAAATTTTACTGTATTAGAAATCTAGGCCCAGTTATGTGCATCTAGGACAGTGGTTCTCAACCTGTGAGTTGTGACCCCTTTGGGGGGGGTCAAATGACCCTTTCACAGGGGTCACCTAATATCAGATACTTACATTATGATTCATAACAGCAGCAAAATTACAGTTATGAA